TTCCCCAAGAAGAAAATTTCCCATTCAGCTCTTCTTGGGGGACGTAAAAGATCAAAGAAAGGATGCCTGTAGAAACTTTTAAAAAATGCCTATATGATGCATTAGAAAGGTCATGATATAATAGGTATTCATTAATAACTCCTTTGATTATTGACTAAAACCACACAGGTTAGCTTTTAATTAGCTCCTGGGGCGTAAGTGACCATAGAAGCTCCACCAAACCCTGAAGGAACGAGTCCAGTCGTAATGGTGGTCATTATGCGTGCCCAGTGTGCCTTTACGTGGAGTCACTGAGCGTGTTTGTGTCTACCTTGTCGCAGGTTATGATCGCTGCTCTAAGCGTCAGTCCAAGCCAGGGAGGCTCCTTGGAGGTGACACAGATCACAGGGCTGTCCTGAAACCAGCACTGTCCAACCTTTCCTTACCCTGTTGACAAAGGTCTCTCTGCTGTGGGACACAGGGCATATGAACAGAAACACCCCAGACCCCCATGAAGAGCAGTGTCTTTACAGCAGCAATGACCAGGCCTTGCAGGCCACCAGCAACCACTCTCACCCTCTGTCCCCACTGCCACCACAATCCTGCTCCCTACCTCCTCCCTCTCCCCCAGGTGAGGGGGGAAGGATCAGGCCAGTGTTCTTACAGGCTCTCCTCCTCTTGGTTCCTGGGACCCTTCTAACGTCACAGTGTCCAGTAAGCTGACCCTACACAACCACCCACTCACCTCCCTCCTGCCTTGCTTCCTAGTATTGCATTCACAAAACAAAACAACAACAAAAACAAACTCATGCTGAAAGCAGACATCAAGGGGAATGAATCCATTGTTCTGCACCCCATAACAAAAATTCCTACAGACAGGGCATCATCCTGGGGAGATGCCCAGGAGCGAGGGATCCAGGTTCACTGCTGAGAGCAGAAGCCAGAGGCAGAAACCTTTCCACAGGCAGCGACAGTGGCCACCGAGCGAGGGCCTGCAGCAGAGTCCAGATGGTTTTGTTTGGGTCCTTTGGCAGAAGCACAGCTCTCTACACCGAACAGCATCAGGGAGCACTTAAAGCAAAGGCTTGGTTTGTGTTTTATTTTGCAAGGAGTGGGGGAAGGAGAAGTTGCCAGGAAACCAAGCCCTCTGAGCATTCTGCTCTGGGGCTCTTCATCAGGCAGGGAGGGGGCTTCAGATGAAAGGCATCAGTGGGGTTTTCTCGAGCATGCTCACATCAGGTTTTGCTTTCTTTCCTCCTCTTGGAGGACTTGAGAGTCCATCCTCCTGGGGCCTGCCCATCAGACCCAGGGTGGGCACCTTACCCACATGCTGCCGAGCCCAGGACAGAGCCCTCCAGCACCGGCATGGACCAAAGATCAGGGCCTGCTACATAATCTGCTGGGTCCAGTGCAAAATGGAAATACAGGACCCTTGAGCAAAACAGATTAAGGACTTCAAGATGACAACAGCAGAGCATTACAGCAAGCCTGGGCCACTTCTGAGCAAGGAGTCTTCAGGCCACACACACCCACAAGCTGGCTCTATCCAAAGTCCCACTTTGCCTGGCCAGCATGGATGTAGGATGGGAGCTAAGCCGCCCCCACCCCGCACAGGGTCCCACCATCCACATCCTTCTCTTCAGAGGAAAAAGGAGAGAGAAGGGCAGGAGAATAACAATACTTGAAGATTTCCAGAACACAAATAACTTAATTTGTGTTTTTAACTCCAAAGGTAGAACCTGAGTTAAATTTTTGAAAAATATTCTGATTGTTTTATAGTTATTCTCTTTTATTTGCCAGGATTTGGGAGAAGACCTAGTAGAGACCTAGAAGATTATAGTAAGATTTTTTTTTAAATGATCATAGTAAGACTGAAGCTCATTGACGGCTTTTGTGTGTGTGTGTGTGTGCTAATACTGTGCTAAGAATCCGTTGCTGCTAAGATCTACCTTACTTATAAAGCTCATTATTCTCTCAAAAAAAAAAAAAAAAGCTCATTATTGACATTTTACAGATAGGAAAACTGAGACTAAAGAGAATGCTCTAACTTGGGGCCAGCAAGTGTCATAGTGGTTAAGGGGTTGGACTCCTGTGCAATCAGTGGCAGTTTGAGTCCTGAACCTGGCAGCTTGAAATTCATGCTGGGCCCATGTGCATGTGTGCCCAAAATCCCCAGAGGAGAATGGAGGAAAAGGGATTGTGGCATGGCCATCCCCAACCCAGGAGGGAAGGGGTAGTTTCTAGCTTTCTGTCTCTCTGTCTCTTTGGCGAGTCCACACACCCTATAGAAGAGTCCACACACGCTATAGAAAAAACCAGGGGAGGAGATTTCTCACTTTCCCTCTCATTGACTCCATCTGTCTCTATCTCTCTAGTGATCACACACACCCTAGGGCAAAAACCTCTTTGGGGGGGGGGGGGTTAAAAAAGAGAGAATGTTGTAACTTCCCTAAGGTCCAGCCGCTTTAAAAGTAGGGAAGCATGGGGCCAGCTGGTGGCTTAGTGCTTAAAGCACTGGACTCCCACATGGCCAACTGCAGTTCAAGTCCTGGACCTGGCAGCTTGTGAATCACACCGGGTGTGTGTGTGCCCAAAGTCCCAACAGGAGAGTGGACACGAAGAGAGACAGGCACCGCCAGCCCGCCTAGAGGGTGATTTCTCACGTCCCCTCTCTCTGCCCCTCTCCAGCTATCACACACCCTATGGCAAAAACCTAAAAAAAAAAAAAAGCAATAGGGAAGCATCTTGGAAGTAGGGAAGCCTGGATTCAAGCAAATGAAGTCAGATTCCAAAGCCTACCCATGCCTGACCTCTTTGCTCCATCCATATACTACCTCTGTGGAACCGGTCAGATCTGGTGTTTGTGATTAAAGCTAAGTTCAGGTGAATGTCTGTAAATACCTAGCATCGGGGGATCAGAGAGGGACTGAAGTGTGTGCGTTGAAGGGGTGACGGTGGTGGGTTACCAGGCAGGGGCGTAGACTCCCATCTGTACGTCTGAGTAATAAAGACTCTCAGTGCTTAAGCGGCACTGAGTCTGTGGAGGGCTTTGAGTCCTTTGCTTTTCTTGAAATCTCTCTCCACCCGGTTGGAATTGACCCTTCAAGGGAAAGAAAAGCACATCTTCCTTGGGCTTAGAGTGAAAGGCACTGAGCTGTGAACAAAAGAGGGAGCTGTGTAATGAGAGACAATGGACGGCCTCCTTCCCGTTACTTAGGCAGACCAAACCACTTTTACTTTGCAGAGAGGAGCTTGTGATGCAAGAAGGCCATTCCAGAGGGGCCGTTTTTCATCCCAGCCCAGTTTTACCTGGGGTGCCCAGTCTGTCTGCCCAGCATTGACTAGCTGCATCCTGAGCCTGGGAAAAGCAGGGATTCTGGGAATGGCACTCACGGTTTTTGTTTTCTTTCCCTTTTTCTATAGTTTTGCTGTAGGGCATATGTACCCAACAGAGAGAGAAAGATAGAAAGGGAAGGTGGGAAAGTACCCCCCAGAGGGGATGGCCACCCAGCAGTCCCCTCTGTTCCACACTCCTCTGGGACTCTAGGCGCCCACTCGCACCTAGAGTGAGTCCCAAGCTGCCAGATCCAACCCAAACTGCACAGTGGGCCCTGTGCAACCTAGCCACCCCAACCTCCGCGCCACCTACTGGCCCCACGGCATAAGGGTGAAGAAGCGTGGCCAATTCAGAGGCCAGGAACCTGAGGTCTGGGTTCTGGGTCTGAAATGAGACGAAAAATCACATGCCTCCACTGAGTGGGCAGAGAAAAGGAGGACTACAGGGAAGAGTTGCCCATTCCCGAGAGGAAGTCAAGAAAGAGATTCCTTCTTTATCCTCTCTCAACAGAATAAATTCAAATTCTACGTATATGGAAGGGAATGCTGTAGCTCTGGAATGTGAATACAAATGTGTGTGCACGTAACTTTAACCTTCTGTGCCATTTCCCAGACGGCAACTTTCTTTTCCTTCCTTTTTCTGTTCTTGCTGATTTGAAATATTTAATTTTTTTTCCCATTTTCACAATGTATAGTAGTTGCCAAAAGAATCGAACGACTCTTTCATAGACAAATGTGATACTGAAATTTGTGACAATGCAAATAGCTTTTTACATTCATTTTAAAAAATATATTGTTTAAAATGTACGTGTAATCCCTGGACATCTTCAGTGTTCAAAATGGTTTACTTTTTCATCCGATGAAAAGGAACCCTGTTCCGAGCACCCTTGGCTGCTGCCCTAATTACTTCCCGGCAGCGTGGCCAGCCTCTTAGTTAACGGGTTCACTGGGCTGGAGGAGGACCGGCCGCCGGCCCTGCCTTCCGCTTCGCACTGTCCCTGACCGAGCCCGAGGTGGGCTCCGCGCGCGTCCTGCCAGCTTTGTGCCGCAGACAGAATGGGCTTGACAGACTCGTATTGTGATCTCGACTCGCCTGCCCCGAAATAAGGTCCCGGCAGCCTCCGCCCTTTGCCAGTGAGTCGGAGGCTCTTGCACATTAGTGGGCAGGAAGTGGAGTCCCGGTGGGAGGCTGGGAATTTGAGCGCCTTCCCATTTCAGCACTCGAGGGGAGGAAGCTGAGCCCGGCGCTGCACGCAGATGGCTACTGCGCCCTCCTGAGCGCTCCGTTCTGCTCCCTCGCCCTCCCTCCCGCCAGCCCGCCTCCTCGGCTCGCTCCTTCTCCCTCCGCCCCTCTGCTTGGAGGGAAAAGTCTGCGAAGCCGGGAACTGTCATGGGGAATTCAACAAAGGCGAACCAAGGGGCAACAACTTAAGAAGAACTTGTTTTGTTCCCGCGAAGAAATCTGCAGGAAAATCCACTCCCACGTTGCCTGGTTTTAAACCGGAGAGCTGCCTGTGTGTGTGTGTGTGTGTGTGTGTGTGTGTATCTCTAGAGGTGGAGGAGGCGCAAACAACTACGTTCTGCTTTGATAAGGAAACTGCCAGCTGTTGAAAGTTAACCAGCAAAAGGGGACCTCGGCGAGAAGAAGCTGCCCCTGAATTTAAATTGCATTGTTTTCTGTCCAGATATTCCAATGGAGACAATTGGAAAACCTGTATTTCAGAGAAAAGAAGTTTTCTGTGGAAGTGCATGACCCCCGCAGGTAAGTCTGAGAAGTCCTTTTCTCATGAGAGTGCCAGGCTTGGCTGGCGTCTTATTTAGATGATTATTTTTGTCTGTCATTATTCGCGTTCCGATCGGGGTAGGGAGAGAGAGGATGGTGGATCGTGGAGAACAGAGCTCAAATCAGACAATAGTTTTGTTCTGGACTACATATGTTGGTATCTGAGGTGGGTTCAAGTGTGTGTGTGCACGCGCATGTGTGTGCATGCACATATGCATATGTATGTGAAATTGGCAATTCCCTGACAATCTCATCTGGCTGCTTTGTGTGTGTGTGTGTGTGTGTGTGTGTGTGTGTGTGTGTGTGTGTTAGTCGTACATCCTAAGGCATTGGAAGGAAGTTTTGTGGCTCACATCTCTTTAGGAAACTTGGGCCAAGGAAGAGTCTGGAGGATTCCTTGGCAGAGCTTCTAACAGCATCTCAAGTAGGATAGTCAACACCAACAGGACTGTCACTGAAACAGCTAAGCTCAATTGTTTTATTCCAGGAGCTCTGATTTTAGGGTGTCTGTATTGTGGATCCTGTGGGAAAAATAGTTACTTTTCCCTCCACCCCACATTGTACCCCAAAGAGCACCAGGGCCAAACTCTGCTCTCTAGGTCAGACTCTGGCAATGTGGCCCCAGCTTGCAGCAGCGAGCCCAGCATGGAGGGCGCTGAGCACCCATTGCTTTTCCTGTCTTTGTCTGCCAGCAATCCTGGGGGTGTAAGCAGCTCATACGCAGCAGCTGAGTTCCCTAACATCTGACACTCAAGTGTAAGGCACTTCCCATAGTTCCGAAAACAGAGTAACAAGAACACAGCCTTGGGAAGACAGGAAAAGGATCTGGCTCTGTAGAGGAGCACAGGTGGATTTGGGGTGCCATGGACACCCCAGCCCTGGGCTTAGAAAGAAGAGTTGGCCCCAAGCTCCAACTTACACATGGTTGTAAGCATTAAGAACAAGCACTGCGCCTCCCAGGGAGCTCCGGACGCAGGGAAGAGCAGTCGTCTTCCCCAGTGAGAGGCTGGAGCATGTGCAGCAGCTTCTGTTCCTGCAACCAGTGATAACCCGGCAGGATGAGGTGCTGCCTGCCTGCCATGTAATCTGCATGAAACAGCCTCTCCTTGCGCAGGGCAAGAACTTAGCCCAGCCCATAGTTACTGTGAGGCTAGAAGCTGGAGAACGTCCTGGAACTCGCATGTCTCTGCAGTCAGGGGAAACTGGCATTAAGCAAAATTCGCTTATCCAGTGTCTCTCAGGGTTCTGCGAAGGGTTTCAGGATCCAAAGACTCTCCTCCACAGAGCACGAATCCATCTGCACAGGTCAGGTGGGGAAGATATAGATGCTGAAAATATTATTTTGGCCAAGAGGGAGCTCATTGTTGGTTTTTTTTTTGGGGGGGGGTGAACTGTATTGAACCAGATTCTTCAGCATGTTAGAGGAGGGACAACTTAAATGTAGAAAGAGTGAAATTAATTTTGTTGCCATGAGTCAGCTGCACAGAGAGGATGCTTGACAGAATAAAAACTAGGGATTGGATAATCTAAGGGGCTGATCGAAGGGAGCAGACAGGCCGTTTCTGCCTCTACTCTGCTGGGAATTCTGTTGACATAAAGCCGCCTTAGGCACATCCTCTAACCATGCTGGTGTGTGTGTATGTGTGTGTACAGGTGTTATGTGTACATGCATGTATGGGCGTGCACTCATGATCTGATGCATCTCTCACCTTACTTGTGATGGAATATTAAATGCCCTTTCCTAAGGCCCAGGGATGTAGTAAAGGGTTGAAATCTCACATAAAGTGGGTGTGTAGCCTATTCAACAAAAGTGCTTGCTTTCATACCTGTTGGGTGGCTCTGTGTGGGCACTGAGCCAGATGTAGAAGGAGTGTGCTCCTTACCCCGTGGCTGTGGTATGCCACGGGCAGGCAGGCACTGTTCTAACCCTTGTGCACATTCTCTTGCTGGATCCTCATGTGACCGCAGGAAATTGGAGCAGCTGTCATGCCTGTCCTGCATATGGGAAATGGAGGCACAGATAAATGAAGTAGCCCTAGGTTAGCAACAGCTAGTACTGGGAGAGGCAGGGATTGAACCTGGGAAGTCTGACTTCAGAGCTCATAGGCTTTACCACTACACTATACTCAGGACATAAATGCTGAATGATATAGTCACCATGGGCCTGCCTGGCCAGGAGAGGCCACCTGAGAAAGAGAGATTTGAACTCAACCTCAAAGGGTGACTACAGTTAGAGCCATGAGGCGGAGGCCTCTGGGGATAAAGATGTCAGATAGGTGTCCCGCAAGTGAGGTAGAGGGAAGTGGGAGAGCCCAGAAGCAGCTAAAACTTGAACATGATCATGTCCCATCCAAGGAAAAATTAGCAGGTACCCATGTTATCTTAGAGACAGGCAGGGTAGGGTGAGGGGGATACAAGGGGCAGGGAGGCCCAACAAGGCCAGAGGTGGAAACCCACATTGACCTCAGCTTTAAAGACATTCTTTCCAGATGCACAAGGAAGAAGAATTGCTTCAGTTTAGCTACTTAACTTACTGGCAGCGCCCAAGATATAGCCAAGTTCGACCTGTACTCAGAGTTCTCTTTCCAGCCTTGTAGTGTCTTTTGAGTTGCATGCATCATCCCATTGCTTGCCATCTTGCTAATGTGGAGCAGAGAAGGCTAATCTAATTGACCTTAAGTGGGATGGTGTTCAGGGGCTCAGCCCCTCCCCTGAGCCAGGAAGGGAGTCAGAGCCACCATAGCAGGACGGGAAGTGCCAGATAGAATCAGTTAGTGCAGATGTCATCTGTGGGAAACTGTGATGATAGGGGACTCATCTAGGGCACAGGGGGCTTTCTGAGCTGGTGGAGAGGTGTGGTCCCATAATCTTCCCACATGGCACAGGATGCAGAGTGGAAATTTGTCCTCCTGCACACCCCAACTCTAAGCCTTACCTTTGGTTCTGCTGTCTCTAGACTTGGCAAATAATTCTGTTTCTAAAATTTTGCCAAAATGGGGACCAGCAGTTAGCGTAATGTCTATGTCTCTGGACTCCCATGTAGTCGACCGTGGTTCGAGTACCGGACCCGGGGGTTTAAACTCACACCAGGCACGTGTGCGTGTGTGCCCAAGATCCCGAGAGGAGAATGGAGGAGAAGGGATTGCGGCATGGCCATCCCCCCTGGGGGGGGGGGTGATTTCTTGCTTTCTGTCTCTCTGTCTCGGTCTGTCTTTCTGGTGAGTGTATACACCCTGTCTTTCTGGTGAGCGTACATGCCCTATAGCAAAAACCTCTCAAAAAAAAATTTTTTTTTTAGCCAAAATGGAAAAGTCAGGGTGGGAAGGGCTAGAAGGGAAAGATGAATCAAGATAAATTTATAATGAAGCAGGAGAAAAGCACGGACAGTATCTGATAGAGATGGTCCTGTGGAACTCCCCAGACCTGACCAGCCACTTACCTCTTCCTCACTCAGACACCTCAAAGATGGAAGCACCTCACCTTGTGTCCTACAGCTCTCACTGCCTTTAGTAGGACACAACTCGAGATATTGCTCTCTCTAACTCAGCTTTTCTGAAGAGAGGGAGAGGAATTTATTCCCAGGAGCAGGTGTTCTGGGAGCCAAACTGGGAGCTCGGCTCACCGGTTCAAACTAGAGACCAGAGCAGAGAGAGCTCTCCTCACGTTCTCCCTTGCCCCTTTTCAGTTTGTTGCTCTTTCTGAGCTTGCATGTCTTCCTTAACTTTTGTTTGAACCAAAGAGAAGAAAAACTTGCCTAGAATTAATATTAGTAACTAATCCCCAGATCTGCATTTCTCCTTAAAAGTGGGTGTGAAGAAGGTAAATCTTTAGCCCCCAAAGATGATGGGAGCAGCTTTAAATGTTCTTCCAGGGAAATTTTGCCATGAAAAATAAAATGCTACTGGGACCAGCAGTTAGCGTAATGGCTATGTCATTGGACTCCCATGTAGTCGACTGTGGTTTGAGTCCTGGACCTGGTGGCTTAAACTCACGCCAGGCGCATGTGCGTGCGTGCCCAAGATCCCGAGAGGAGAATGGAGGAGAAGGGATTGCAGTGTGGCCATCCCCCCTGGGAGGTGATTTCTCGCTTTCTGTCTCTCTGTCTCTCTCTGTCTTTCTGGCGAGCACACGGGCCCTATAGCAAAAATCTCTTTAAAAAAAAAATGCCACTGGCCTTATGTCCTGATTACCCCCAAGTCCCTTCCAAATGAGATGTTTTCATCTTGAGGGCATATGTTTTTCTTTTGAGAAGAGGTCAAATGCCCAGCCTCTCACCCCACTTTCCCATCATCTTGGATGTGTGTCTCTGTCTCTCTATCTCTGTCACACAAATGCGCGCGCACACACACGCACAAAGATACACATGAAGACACACACATTCTCAGATTTCATTTGCAAAACAATCTGCCTGTCCTATAAAATAATATGTCAGGGACTGGCAGGTGGCGTACTGGTTAAGGTGCTGGACTCCCACGTGGCTGACTACGGTTCGAGTCCCAGACCTGTCGACTTGCTTTCTCGCTTTCCCTTTCTTTATCTCTCTGCTTCTCTCTGGCCGGATTTTAAAAACAAATAACAATAAATTGAATTTAATAGCAAATTATTTTTAAATATATATACATATGCTTAACTGGGAACCTGACCACATAACTCTCTTGTTCTCCCAATTCTATTAATGCAGTGAATTAAGACCAGCGTCTCCCATTTTCATTATTCCAGTCTGCCTCTCTCCACTTTACACATACATATTCTATATAGGTTTATGAATATATAAGGGGACTTCAAAAAGTTTATAGAAAAAATGGAATTAAAATACAAATTTATTTTGGTATAAAAAACTTTAGAAATCCATGCTTAGCTTTTTCATAATACACATTTTCCTCATTTATACAGAGGCTGGGGGATTGGCCAGATGCCTTCTCTCTGCCCTCCCTCTCCTGATTTTTTAGACTCTCTCTGGTGCTGAATGTATGTGAAATTAATAGCAAAGTCTTTCAAGGAACATTGAGTTGGAGTGATGTAAGAAGCCCTGAGTCCCTCAGCTGCTAGGGCCTGTGGCGATTAGAAAAGAATTCACTCATCTTCTCTGTAGGCAGCATCCCCAGGTTAATAAGGAGCATTATCAAAGCCTTTCCTGTCTCTGAAATTGGTCTTGGCCTGGTGCCAGGATCTAAAGATCAGAAAGGACCATTCAGTGACCTAGAATGACCCGTCTTATAACAGAAAAGGCAGAAGCTTGGTCAAATTCTGAACCCTCAAGAGTCAGTAAATCAACCACTGGCCTTTGCCAATCAGTTTCCCTGAGCAGATTTACACATGAGTGTGTGTGTGTCTGTCTGTCTGTGTGTCAGTTCATACCTTTATGCCAGGGCTTTTAGCAACCAATGCACTCTTCAATAAAAACTACAGCCAGTAAATGGTTTTTTTCAACATCAATATGGATGAGTCTAATGATTCTTGTCTTCTTAGGGCTTCAGTGACAAGGAGGACGTTCGGGCACAGTGGCATTGCTGTGCACACATGGTACGCGTGTCCAGCACTAATCAAATCCATCTGGGCTATGGCCATTAGCCAACACCAGTTCTATCTGGACAGAAAGCAGAGTAAGGTGAGTGACTAGACCTTTCAGCAAGCTACAGGCTGGCCTCAGGGCAGCCCGGAGCCATTGCCAGCCTCTCCTGGTATGGAGTGGGAAGTGGATAGGTGGGAGGCACCATGGCCTTTGCCCCCCCGAGATGCACACAGGTGCAGACTTGCCCTTCAGGACTCCAGGTGGGAGGTACGAGGCTAGTTCTTCAAGAGGGCACGTTGCATACAACTGAGGCCAGGAACTCCGGCCCAACCACCTCAGAGGGGCTCACACCATTCACTGAGGCCAGTAGGGCCCTTTTGAAGAAATATGACTAATATCTTGAACCTCAGGAGATTCCTAAGGAGCAAGCAGTCAAGCCCTTTTTGGTGTTGAAACAGTGGCATATTGTTTTCTTTTGCAAAAAGAAAAGTAATCTTCTCAACTGATAAGATGCCACCTAACTGTTTAGGATAACTGTGGTGAAAACCCTCCAGGCTTTTTCAACTGCCAACTCCATTTTTAAAAATGCAAAACTGGAAAGTAGGGGGAAAAAATACAAGCAACCACCCTGTTTCCCAAAGGTAGACCTAGTGCCTCAGGCCTTGGTAAACAGTCCTCCTCTCAGGGAGATTTTACCCACCCCCAGCCAGATGCACGGCTGCACTTGCTGGTGGGTGGGAGAATGACGTCTCTTTGGTTCACACACAGCTTATGTCAATACTCTGCCCCCTCATCCTCCAGCCTGTCTCCCCGTCCCCCTCCCACCCCCCAACAAGCCGCTCCCATTCATTTCCCCTCAAGGTGCACAGCCTGCCAAGATGGGTCTGCACTTTGCTTGGGGTGGTAGACTCTAGAGTGAGGCCAACCTGGGCTAGTGGGAACCAGTGCCTGTAGGAGGTTTAATCCCATAGAGTGAGTTCTCAGGAAAGGATGGCAGGACCCTGCGCCTACTAGGTCCAGGTGTCACTGGATCTGTGCCTCTTGAGTTCCTTCTAGTCTGCCTTACTTTCCTTTTGTGTGGTTACTCTTTTCCTGGGTGGGGAGGAGGAGGACAGTTGGGGTTGAGTGGGAAGTAAGAGCAAGTGAGAAGAGGACAGGAAGAGGTAAACCCTCCCTCCAGGCATAACTCAGTTCTAAATCAAGGCCCTTTGCCACAGTCACTTTCTCCTTTGTGACATGTTTTCTTTTCTACTGAGTCTTTGCCATGGCCCCCATTTTGGTCATTCCCTGAGGTGAATGAGTACAACCTGGAGTGCTTTTGCTATTAGCAATCATGAGCATATTCCACAGCTCTGGTGACGTTGGGCACTGGTGCAGGAATTTGAGGCTTGATTAGATCAAAAGAAATGGGGCCAACGTGTTCTGACTCATGCTTTATGCTGAGACAGTGGGTGGCTGTCAGCACTTTGCCCTCCAGCAGCAAGAGCTGGAGGTCAACACCTTGGAACATAGATTTCATCCTCTGTACTGTTCAGTGAGGGGTGGTGAGGGGCTGAGGGTTGGGCAAGTCTCCTGAACCCCATTGCCAATTCCTCTCAAGGCGGACCTCACACACAGTGATGCCACAATTGGGAAAGGGGGAAAGAGAGAGCATGCTTCACCCTAAGCAGTGACTTTTGGAGCTCCTCCTCCCGCTGCTCTTTTTCACCTCTCCTCTTGTGTATCTCAAGATGGTCTTATTCTGCAGTTGGAGAGCTTTATTCAATAGGCTTGTGGGTCAATGCACTGCTACGAGTGAACTTCAGAACTAAATTGTAGGC